TGGGGACTCCACCACTGCCCTGGGCAGCCCATTCCAATGCCATTCCATCAGCTTCCTGGGCACTGAAGTCAAGCTGAAAGGCCTGTAATTTCCCAGGTCATCCTTCCAGCCCTTCTTATAGATGGGCTTCACATTGGCCAATTTCCAGTCTGTTGGGACCCCTCCCTGGTCAGCCAGGACTACTGTTAAATGACGAAAAGTTGCTTGGTGAGCACCCCAGCCAGGTGTTTCAACACCCTCAGGTACATCCCATCTGGTCTCAAAGACTTGTGTGTATCTGTGTGATGCAGCAGGTCACTGGCTATCTTCTCCTGGACTGTGGGGGTGTTGTTCTCCTAGTCTCTGTCTTCTGGCTGAAGAGGCTGGATTACCTCAATTCAACTAGTCTTGGTATTAAAGACTGAGGCAAAGCACCTCATCACTCATTGCCATGTTTCCTCCTGTATCAAGCAGCGGATGTAGGCTCTCCCCAGTCTTTCTTTTCCTGTTGAAGTACCTATAGAAACTGTTCTTGTTATGCTTGACTGCTGAAAGCAGATTAATTTCTAGATGGGATTTAGACCTCCTGATTTCTGCCCTACATAGTCTCACAGCATCTTTGTAATCATTGTGAGTGGCTGGCCCCTTCTACAAAAGCTGTAAACTCTGTTTTTCTCCCTGAGTTGCAGCCAAAGCTCCCTGTTCAGCCAGGGTGGTCTTCGCTGTCCCTGGCTTCTCTTACAGCTTGATCCTGTGCCATTAAGACTTTCTTCTTGAGAGTATATAGCCTTTATGGACCCCTATATCGTTCAGGGCCATCTCCAAAGGGATCCTGTCAAGCAGGTAACTAAACAAGGCAAAGTCAGCCCTTCGGAAGTCCAGGATGTCAGTTCTACTGCCCCTCTCCTGGACTCTCTAAGAATAGACATGATCTCTGTGCCCTAGTTGGCCTCCAACTGCCACATCCTCCACCAGTCCTTCTCTGTTCACGAAGAGGAGATCCAACAGGGCACCTTCTCTTGTCGGTTCACTCACCAGCTGTGTCAGAAAGTTATCTCCCACACATTCCAGGAATCTCCTGGAATTGTCCCTCTCTGTTGTGTTGTATTTCAAGCAGTTGTCTGGGAATTTAAAGTCTCCCACAAGAACAAGGGCAAGCAATTGTGAGATTTCTCCTAAGTGCCTTTAGAATATTTCATCCACTCCTTGTTGAGTGGCCTATAGTAGACTCCTACTACAACTGCCCTGTTGTACTTCCCCCTGATTCTAACGCGAAGACATTACACACTGTCTTTTACTATGCTTGTGTTCAAAGCAATCATAATACTCCCTAACAAACAACACCACTCCACCATGTCTATCTCTTCTAGAGAGCTTGTAGGCATCAATTGGTGCACTCCAGTCACTGGAGACATCCCACCATGTTTCTGTGATAGCCACTCCAAGCTCCTCCTGTTTGTTATTGTACTGAGTCTGGCTGAGCTGGAATTGGTTTTTCCCTGTAGCAGCCCTCATGGTGCTGTGTTTTATGTCGGGAGCTGGCAGGGTGTTGGTAGCACCCTGGTGTTGTGACTACTGCTAAGCAGTGCTTACACAGCACCAAAGCTCTTTCTGACATTTACACACACACACACACACACACACACACACCCCTGCAGTGGGACGGGGTGGGCAAGATCTTGGGAGGGGACACAGCCAGGACAGCTGACCCGAACCGACCAAAGGGGTATTCCAGACCATATGATGTCTGCTCAGTATAAAGCTGGGAGAAAGGAGGAAGGGGGTGGGGACACCCTTAGTCCTCCAAGGCAACCACTAAGTGTATTGGAGCCCTGCTTCCTGTGAAGGCCTGACATCGCCTCTTCATGGGAACTAAAGAATAAATCTGTTTTCCTTTTGCTTCCATGCGCGGACCTTTGCTTCATTTTGCTTATATTAAAACTGCTTTTCTTTTACCCACAAGGGTTGGTCTATATTATTTTCTTTCCCCTATTTGCCCTGTTGAGAAAACAAGGGGAAAAGAGTGGGGAAGTGATATGATAGAGCGACTTGGTGGATAGCTGGCATTTAGCCAAAGTCAGACCATCACAGTTATCCATGCTGTGTGCGTTGGTATAGATGCCCTTCAGATAGGCTGATGTTCCCAGCATATTTTGCATTTACAGGTCCTAAGTCTGGCCTGACATTTCACAGGTTTCGCCACAGTTACTGATCCATCAATATCCCTTGCATCTTTGTTGTGCTGCATGTCTCCATCCCTTGTGTCCACTGAGAAGGCAGGGTGAGGGTCATTGCTAGCACAACAGTCGACAAACTCTGGTAATTTACCCTTGGGCTTATGTCTGGGAGTTCCAATTTTGTCCCCTTCCCCCTTGAAATCTAGTTTAAAGCTCTCTCAATGAGACCAGTTAACTCCTGCCCTGTTCCCCTTATGGGACAGGTATATCCCATCTGATGCCAAGAGGTCTGGCATCTGTTACTGAAAAATCCAAAGCCCTGCAGGTAACACCAGTCTTGGAGCCACAAGTTCATCTATTGACTTGTCCTGTAATCTTCCTCCTACATCCCTGCAACTGAAGGGATGAAGGAGAACACAATTTGTGTCTCTGACCTCTTAACCATTTTCCCCAAGACCCTGAAATCTGTCTTCATTGATTTAGGACTTTTCCTGGTAATGTTGTCACTACCTACCTGAAAAACCAAAAGACTGTAGTAGTCCTTGGGTCTCACTAGAGTGGGGATTTTGCCATGAGGTTCCTTACCCATGCCCCAGGGAGGCAGCAGACTTCCCTATGAAGCGGGTCCGGTCTGCATATTGGGCCTTTGACACCCCTCAGAATGTAGTCACCCACTACAATGACCCTTTGGGAGTCCTTTTTAGAGTTGATTTTAATACCTGGTCTAGAGTGACTCAGCCTTGGTGGACATTGGTTTTCCTCCTTGTTTGTCTCATTTTCTTCATCCTTCTCTGCTTCATTTACAAGTTCCAGGGCCCCCGTATGTACTGTGAAGGGACACCATGCAGTGCCATTACCAATGGCCAGCATAGAAGCCACATAGGTAGTTGCTAGAGACATTTTCCAGTTGTGGAGGTGCCAGTATCTGTTTTCATGACCACATGACCAGCTTCTGAGAGAGAATCTGGAAGTCCACTGCTTATGTCCTTGACATGTTTAATCAGGGTGAAACAATATGTTGTTGGTTTCAGAACCTTTCATATATGCTTCAAGTTAAAAAGTCATGGAGAATAAGGTGGATTTTTTTTTTTTTTAATTTGGGTTACATCTGAGACAAGCTGAAGAAGCACAGACAGAATTTATTAGTACTGTATCACTCTAACTGCAATGGAGATCTTCTTGTTAAACCTTATTTTAAGTGCTTTTTCCATAACAGTAACTGAAGTAGTGCATAAAAAATATAATAACTAAGAAGCAGTAGTGCAGTTCAGGGAATAAATTATAAGATATGCATTGCCTTAACTAATATATACTCTTCTGACTATCCGTCTGGCAGCACTTAGTAATTCAAAGTGATTAAATTAAGTTGGGTTTGTATCTTTGTAATAAAGACAGAGTATACAGTCCTCTTCTGTCAGTATAGGTTGGAATTTTATTACTTAGCTTGGTTCTCACTTATAATTGGCCTTTTTGGTTCTCAATGAGCTGTGAATAAAATCTGAGATGTTTAAGATTATGTTAAGGAGGATGCATTTATGAGTGAAATGTGTTCAATAGTATGAGAAAATTATGGAGATTATGATTTCACTGTATTTGAAGTGCAAAATAAAAAGCCTTACATGGATAAACAGGATTCTTCTGTGTTCTTCATTAATGAGTATTGGTAGTTTCCACTCTTATTGTTGTAATTCATCAGAATATAATTTTTCTATTTTTTTTGTGGGTTTTTTTTTTTTTTTCTTTCTTTTCTTTCTTAAAATAGAGCTCTAGGACATTAACTAAGCTTTTCATGCAGATGGCTGGATGTACAACATGAACATGTGAGCTCAAGTGTTTTATTTCATCATGTGGACATGTAAGAATGGACAGGAAGAATGAAGAGATAGAGGGAGAAATTATTTTTGTCACATTAGCTCTTTATATATATGTTAATTTCTGTACTGAAATCCCAGTATACTTTAATATGCAATTTACAATACAGAATTTTGCTCTTTTTTGTGCCGCCCAGCGGAAGTGTGTCATCCGTGTCACCCAGCAGTTCGCTGCATCCTCCCCTGCCAATTGACAATAATAGTAAGAATAACAAGAGTAAAAAAGAGGATGATTTAAACAAGATACTAGACAAGTTGCAAAAGATAGAAATATCAGTAAAGGGCTGTACTACTAACAATTTACCACCTAGTTACAGTCCATCACCACCATCAGCTGTAATGCCATTAGAGTGGCCTCAACAGAGCGGTTGGTCTGGAGTTATTCACAACATCATTCTCGAGGGAGACTGGCAATCAGCAGGACTGCTTGCGCATTCCCAACTCACCGGAGGACAGGCCATTGTGGGGCATACACATGAAAAAAAAAAAAAAAAAAAAAAAAAAAAAAAAAAAAAAAAAGAGTAAAAATAATTAAAAAAAAAGGAAAAGAAAAAAAGAAAAGAAAAAAAAAAAGGAGGAGATGCAGGGAATCAATCTACACCTCACGAAAGGCTAAATAAGGTATAAATAAGGTATTATATGTCATGAACCTTTTAAACATTTCCCCTGTCTCACAGGTGCCACAAATATTGTGTCATTTCTCATCACAGATACCAGATCAACAAGAAGTCCAAAGCAAAACTCAAGTGTTAAAAAACCTAGAAAGTGGTAATTGAGAAGGACCACATATCCTTTAATAACCTGGGGAAGAGGTTATGCTTGTGTCTCCAAAGGTCACATTCCCCAGTGGTTACTGCAAAGGTGTGTGCGCCCATACCTGAGACGTGAGGCAGCCAGCACTCAGGATCCAGCTGTGGGTGCTGTGGATGCCCCTGTGCTGACAGTTTGCAGCCTCTTCGACTGACCATTTAAGCAGAATGTATGAGTAGCACTTGATACCGCAACAGGACAAAATACAATACAGTTGCCAACTATTAAAAGAGAAAATGCTAACAGTAATTGCAACTCCTTAATGAAATATTTTGGTTTATTAGTAATTAGTGAAAGACGTAGATTAGACAGAATGTAGTTATCAATAAGGATGAAATTATATAAGAATGTGTATTTAACTTTCATTGTTTAGCAATATTAAGAATTAGGAACTCAAAGTGGTTTACCTTATTAGAAACTCCCTTGGTTTTCTCCCTTGAGTGGTGACCAGTCTCTGGGTGGAACCCAACAGGTGGATGAAATCAAACGTTCCCGGTCAAAAAAATTTGCCATTTATTCTGGCCTGTTGATTTAGAGGCTGGACCTGCTTGCAGCAACCTTGGATGCCTCACCTACGGATGGATGCATCACGCAGGATTTCCGATTTGCTAGGAAGGGTACTCTGAATTCTCGCTGCATCCAGGGTTCCCCAGCGATTGCAGATCTGAGTGTTAGTGCTTTATTAAGTTTGTGCTGTATAAATCTTTCTAATTACTCTCAATTTATATTTAGGCAGTATTATTAGTAATTGCAAGACAATATGCATAGCGGGATTATTGGAATGCTGTCTTTTTGTTCTATTGAAATGTTGTCTATCTTGTATAGTGAATAGCCTAGAGACCTTAATTAAAAGAAAAGGGGGAATTGTAGGTGCGTATGCCGGGTCGCAAACCTTCTGCGTCACTGACAATGTAGAAGTGTCATCAGCATTTGGGTTAGATGATTAACGACGTCTGAATTAATGACGCACTTGTGTTAGAAGACTAACGGTGTCTAGATTAACGGCGGCTAAAAGCAAAAGAATTTGTTCTTCTTAGGGAAGAAATAGATAAGAAGGGATTCTTTAAAATAACAAAGCAGAAAGTTATCTACCAGCTGCACGCGGTTAGTAGTCCTCACCGAAAATGCTGAGAAGAACAAGTTTTTGAAATGAGCATGCGCTAGAGCAACACATGGATTTGCTGTTATTTTTAGAATGTACAAGAATATATAAGGAATTGTTTTGCTGATAAACTTTTGGTGCTTGACTGTTAAATATATTGGTGTCTGTCTTGTCTCACAACCCCATCCTGCAACACTTTTTTATATGTTAGCAATGCAATTTTTAGATTTTTCTCTTCTAGAAAGCTTCATATTAGAAGCTATTTTATTTATTTATTTATTTATTTACTTACTTACTTACTTACTTACTTATTTATTTTCTGCTACTTAACAACATTCTCTTTTACTATATGTTACATATTCTTGTTTTATGTGGTGGGTCCATTAAGCTGGGTTCTGTAAAAATAAAATAAAATTACCTCTGTCCAGAAGGTTTCACAGGATGAAAGGTAAGATGGTTAAGATAAATGAAGAAACAGACTGGCATGGAAGTACCAGACAACAATAGGATTTTTATCATAGTCTTGCTGTATGTATGATTCGTAGCAGCATTTACTTACACAAGTAGGCTTTCCTCAGGCAATGCCAACAGGATTATTTACAGGAGCATAAATTTTTTATACAAATAAATTTTATATGGTTGGACTTATATCCTGTGTAAATTATGCAGAAAATATCTTCAGTTATGTGTATAAGATCCATAAAATTACCTTTCATTTCTGGAGACTTTTACTGAGAACTGGATTATATTACTGTATATAGTAATAGTACATGTTGTATAGTATTGCTTTATCTTTACTGGTCATTTGTCTGTACCTGAAAATCACCACATAATATATAAATTGGCACAATTGTCTCTGTGCACACACAGAAGGCCTTACTAACAGCTGGTGTAGCCTTGGCAAGCTTGTGTGGAAAAGCTTCTGTGAGCACTAAAGTGCGCTGAGTTTGAAAATGTATATGTTTATATCCCCCAAGTGGCCTTTTAAGAAAGACTATTCACACAGTGCAAGCCAAAAGTGGACACATATAACATGGGTAATGAAGTGTACCCTTCTCTCTTTCACTGATGTAAATTGGAAAAGGCTTGGTTTAATATAGTCTCTTTCTCTCCTCCTGTAAATTTTATTCCAAATAAGCAATCTAGGTCAGCCTCCTGCTGGTGTGCCAACTAATAGGATATGTCCATTATATTTATTATCCTTCTGCAAGGTGTCAGACTTCAACAAAAGAACTAGAAAAAACAGTATGACCTCAGTTTACAGAAAATTATGGAGTATGAATGTCCTTTATATTTTCCAGTATCTTGCTCCTCACTTTCTTGTACAATGTAAGTACTGCTGAATATAGAATGTCCAGAATTTGCCATTTCCAGTACATTTTGATGGCCCCATTTTGCAATTTCAGTGATTCTCACAGGAGATTAATGTTCTAAAAAGTAGTGGAAGTCTTTGTAGTTAGGAAGCTGTCATATTGAACTTTCCAATAGAGATCTGATTTGCCAGTGTTTCCTTCTTTTCTTTTGCCCTTACTCTAAATGACAGCAATCACAGCACTGAATAATTCCCTTCTTTCTCATATTTGTTTCATAAGGAAATAACACACTCTTGAACACTATGATACACAAAGTAGTGAACGTAAATGCCTTCACGAAGTACACTTCAAGGGTATGATTTGAAAGAAAAAAGTTATCTGTGATCTTGATGTTAATGGTGATAATATAAAAGTCTCAGTTGACAAATAAACTACATAGAGTTGAAAACACACTGGAAGAACCAAGAGTTTGCATAGTACCCAGGTAAACTCCAGTGTAATTTTTCATAAACCATAGTGAGGAGGAGGGGGAACAATCTTAAAATACATATCATTTGAGAAACATACCAGAGCCTGTGAAAGTTGGCATTATTCTGTCCTCAATACACACATTTCTAAGACCATGTTACTAATGTGTAAGAAAGATGAAAACAGCATAATTGGTGCCCTGGATTAGGTCTTTAACCTCTTCCATTCATTTCTCTTAGGAGCAAGAGGACATACTATCTTGTCTGAAAGATCTGAAGGAGTGACAGATTTGTAAATCTCTGGGAATCGCCTATACTCAATATTTCTGGATCCCAAGCAAATGCTTTCTTATAAACATCAGAGTAAATACTAGGCTGTAAGAAAAATGGTTTTTAAAAAAAAATTAATTTCAATACAATTCCAGAATGTATTTTGGGTAACTCAGTTTCATATGTTTGTGAAGAAAAAACCCTCAGAATTTACTAGAAGAAAATAACAATATTTTTCTTTTAGTGATCATTCTACTAGAGGTTTGATTGTTCAGGGAGGGACAAGAACTTGTTAAACAAAGCAGAAGAGTAGTTAGGGCATACACAAAAATACCCCCAGCTCTGTCAGCTCTTTATCACAGACTTAGAAGACCTGTGCATAGATGCTGCCCTCCACTGAAACTTGGTATATTACACAGTTCGGTAGGTTTTCCATCCAAATGAGTTTTATGCTTTCTGACAATGGACAGCTAAGAGTGCTACTGCTTTGGAATGAGACCTTGCCTATACTATTCCTTCTAATTCTGAGGGTGACCAGGGGTTAAAATAAACAGAAAAAAAAATACTGAAATACGTAAATACCAATAATGAAACATGGAAATATATCAATACTAATACTAAAACACCAAAGGGGTGAATCATCTGCAATGTGATGCAACTTTCACAAGGCAAAAATCACTCCAGTATCAAAATTTTGAACAATTAGGCCCTGTTCATCATTACTGTAATAACCAGTAGAGCATCAGCTAGTGGCACAGTGTAAGGTCTTCCATTTCTTCAGCACTTTACTATACTACTTTATCTACTTTACTATCAGCAGGAGCTCCCTTTACCTCTACAGGATGACCTTTGCATATCTTCAAGCATGTTCTGGAAATACCAGTATGTCCATAATATAGCAGCAGACAGCCACTACTTCACTTCCCTTGCCTTCACACCATTTTTAAGCTATATAATTTTCTAATTTTTAAGCAAAGAATTAATTCACTAATTAAACACCAGCTCAACATTTATCTAGGTTTCACTGGTGAGCTACAAGAGCCTGATAGGAACTGTGGGCAACACAGGCTATATTTCCCCTGAGGTCCCAGAAAGATGTGGCATTTTCTACACTTTTCAGAGAGCTAGCAAATTTCCACCTCTCCTCCAGTAACCAAAAATAAGTTGAAATTCCTTTCTTTTTGACTCCTTGGAGACCTTTTCAAGCTATTAATAGAGTTATTTAAACAGAAGATATGTTTTTCTAGAAGTTCATATGCAGAACTGTGGGTGTAAACTCTATGTGTGCAAGCTCACGCTCTGGCCTCCATTGTTTATCCTTTTCACAGTTAGAAGCTGATTTCTAGTTTGTCTTTTCCCCCAGTTATTTGAAGAGTTTCCCTGCAGTTTGTTTGAAAAGCACATTAATTATAAGGGGTCTTTTCATCAATACATGTCATTTAGAATTTCCCACGCTGAGGAGTCATCACTGCAAGGTGACATGCCTAGTTAATTCTATCTGATACTATCACATCAAGCCAACAAAACTGAAAAACAAATGGGTTACTAAACACTGCAGTCAATTGTTTGGAACAAACAAATGTCTGTTCAAATTCTACCTGTTCAGAGAAATTAAACACCAGCTAGGGTGTTTTAAGTTATGAGCAGTTTTTTTTCTAGTGGGAACTGTGTGTAGCGGGAACTGTCATCTATGACAGGCTTATATTAACTCTAGGTAGAAAAGCTGTAAGGAGAAAATTTATTTCCGCAGAGTAAAACTCACAGAAAATACTTACATAATTTTGATGAATAGTTGTAATCCGTCACTTAGTAAGCTGTGAAATGTACCATTAGAAAAATCTGTTATTAAGGTTCTACTTTTTTCTTTAGTGCTGTATATGGTGAGAGATAAAAATTATATGCTCAAACTAATTTCAAAGGAGTTTTGCTAAATTAAATTTTCCTTCAAAAGTGTCTGTTTTCTTTCAACAGGAAAAAGAAAAAAACCCTAAATAGTCAATGAAAAGCTGAAAAAAAAAAAGGAAAAGATTCAGGTTTCAGCCAGCAAGAAAAGCATTTTGGACAAAAAGTTCCCATACCTATCCAACTATAATCAGTCTTTAACAGCAGGTCAACATTTTTCCCAGAAATTAATGACTGTAGTTTTTGGGTTTGTTTTCATTTTATTAACACATGTCCTAGGGTGGAATACTTTCCATGAGATGGAAAAGCAATACCAAATTTATCTTCCAACAAGCTCTAGTTAATTGTCATCTACCATCTAGAGAAGATAACCCAGAAACTACGGGCAAATATGTATCGTCATATCCTCCCTTCTCAGAGTAGGCAGCTAAATGCACCGAGATCTTCAGGAACTGAGAAGCACTTCCATGAAAACTAACAATCTAACTCCAAAATATGTAGCAGTAATTGAAGCCCTGTAATTACCTGTTAAGTCAGAAAGAGCACTTCCAAAACCAGGGCACAGGGATCCATCAGAAGTATAATTCTTGAATGGTTAAGGCAAAGTATGAAGTATGATTAGGGCAAAGACTTCCAGGTGAAAACTAATACAGTTTCTCATGAGCCTTTATCACCTGTAAAGGCTACATAAAAGGTAGATTATACGCCTTTCTGGGTTATATCAGGAATATATTTATGATTCAGTTGGGAATCTTTTCTAAATGACTGAATTAGTCTTTTACTCTTGAATAGTCAAAGAGAATAGGGCACTGAGTGAATAAATTCATTTATTGTCATATAAATTATGTTAGTTCCCCTGAAATCTCATTCCTTCTTTTCTAATGATGATAAAGTACTAATTAATAATACATACCAAGAGACTATGTGTATGGTGGTAACTGGTAGGTAGAATGAACTGATATTGAATAAGAAGGCAAGACTGCATACAGAATAAATTTTACCAATAGACTGAAACACTAGAGTGAAAAGAGTCAAAATTCAAATATGTCACTGTCAGTGTTACTTTGCTGAAGGGGGTATATATATAAGGAAACAAGGGAGCAAAAAATCTGGGACAAAAAAATCTTTGATTACTTTTGTAATTTAAATTTGTCATTTTTATGTCTTTCAGAATGATTCTAGCTACCTTACATAAATATAGCAGAATAAACTGAACAGTACAAAGACAATTACAGATATGGTTAATCTATTGACCTGGAGAAAACTTATGAAAAATTATTTTTTTTACCCACAGGGATGAAACACCACAGGGATGAAAAAGGCAGGGTCTTTTTGTTTCTGAAATCCTTTTAAGGTCAGCAGGCAAAGTCAGAGAGATGACTACATGTACAGCACTCCTCTTGCAATAACAGCAATGCTTAGTCTCCCCAAATCTGACACCTTCCAGGTTAAGAAAATAAAGATGCAGAGAACCAGAACTGCAGTGAAATATGTAGCACATTTCTCACAATGTTAATAAAGCAGATGTACTGAAACTCCCTTATAAGCTTTTTCTTCTGATAGATCTGTCTTTTGACTGTCAATAAATTCACTCAATGTACATGAATATTTGATTAGCACTAAGTGCACCAGATGTTTATTTTTTTCTTTCCACACCATATGGCTAGAAAAAGAAAAGAGTATTTAGATTTTGTTCATGATCAAAACACAGTGTACAGAGATTTATAGTATTTGAAATGTATGATAGATCCAGTGTAAACAATGTCTAATATAGAATGGGTATGCATTTACTCATGATGCACATCACAGTGAGACACTAAGAACCAGGTTTTTATTCTCAACATTATGTATGTAAATGAAATAATCTCAGTTAGAGTTAAATATTGCCTCAGGGAAGATTCTTGAAGGTTTTTTTTGTTTTTTTTTTTTTTTTTTAAAGGAAAAATCTGTTCCACAATGAAAACGAGAAAGGGAGAGAAACAAAAGTGCTTTCTATCAAGATATTCAGCTTATGCTTAATTTTATTAAAAAACAACCTCTGAAAATAAAATATCCTTAAACTGTCTCTAAATTGATCTGTATTACCTGGAGGAAAGCCTCAGTCATCCTTTGGAAGAGGCTCTGCCCTCCAGTGGGAATGCCTCTCTCAGTAGGTACTGCTTTGCCTGCATTGCTCTGCAGACAGCTTAACTAGACCACAATGATAAAGAAGAGTGTGAAAGAACTAGACTACAGGTTCCACTGGGGTGCCACTGCTGAAGTATCTCACATTTGGCCAAACGCTTCTTATGTTTCTCCAAAAAGTTTCAGCTTTAAATTTTTGCCTGGAAATATTTTTTTTTTCTTCCTAGGAAGAAAAAAACCCCTCATTTTCTATTTTTTTTTTATCCTCATTAAACCAATGGTGAGGCTTCATGTATCAAGAGATTTGAAGACATGCTTGGAACCTTAGCATTTCCTGTAGATTTAGATAGTTACTTCACAGGGTCGACATAAGTTCATCAAAAATTATGGGAGCTATAAATTTATTGATAATGGTTGAGAAACACTAAAGAAAAAAAAAAGAAGATAAAAAGTAAGGCCTAATAATTAAAAGTTGGTAAGTATTATTTTTTGGTAGACAGAAAACAGTTAGACAATGAAGAGTAACTGAGGCTGTTGATTAATGCATTTAATACCTTGCTTTCTGCTATGAGATGTCCTCATTTTGCCAGAAGAAATAAAGTATTAAATTAGATAAAATGAGAATGGTAACATTAACCAGAGTTCAGTAATTTTTTTGTTGTTGTTTTATATTTTAGATTGAAAAATAAACCATGAAATTCCAGGACAAAAAAATTAAAAGTAGGTTATTCGGTACCTTATGAAAGTATTGATGACAGAATGAACACAGCACTTAAAATAATGTTATTTTTCATAAAAATACATAGGTACCATATAGTGGAAGAGACGGACCTAAAAGGTCATCATTACTACTTTCAGACCAGTGGTGCTGAAGGGCACTGAAGTTTATGTAAGCATTAGAGTATGTGAAGTCATTAGAGTGTAATGACTATTCAGCAATATGAAAGCCTAGAAGTCAGAAAATGTCGTGGTAGTACCATAGATGTGCAGTAATTTACATGGAAGGTTTATGGTAAAAAGGAGGTGATAGAAGTTGAGTAGAAAACTGACACATAGACATCCAAGTAAAGAAAAATAAAAATACTAGGCTTTGCTTCCAAAACGTTTTATGTGTTTTAGTTTTCTAAATATTCCAGTTGCTTTAAAAATACAGACATACTCCTATAACTGACACCAAGTTTTCATATTTAGCTTACATGGGCTTTCTGTCCTCTGAACATTACTGCCTTCCTCTTCAGCCTTAGTCTTTGCTTATACCACCTTACCATAACATTTGTTCCATACCATTGTTCCATTAGTATTTCTTAAGATCTTGTTTATGGAGTTTTAATCTTAGAAGTCTGGAGGTAAATATTCTTTATAATAGTGATGGAGGGACAGGGAGTTTTAGTATTAATACATTCTTAGCTTCAGGTTAGGTGCATTAAAGAAGTTAAATAAGCACAACTGTAAATCTTTCCAGTTTCATTGATCATTCACTTTGTGCATATACAAATGCGTCTTCAATGGAGGTGTGATGCAATTCCTTGTTGTAGTAATGAGACAGAAACTCTACTTTCCATTGAGATAACGTAACTGCAAAAGAGCTCTAAGAATTGAATTACAATGTTTTAAACTCTGTACAAGAAAAACATCACCTTCAGAGTCCACAGAGTACGGAGGATATTGTACTTTTAAATTTTTTCTCATTTTACTATAGAAGGCAATGGCATAGTATATGTGTGTTATAATTTAACACAAAACCTACCATCTGGTGCTTACTTTTTCTTTGGTAATGATATATAATTGCATTATTTTAACATATTTTATCTGCTAATTACTAATTACTAAAAGGGATTTCACACTGCAATGATGCAATGCAAAACAAGACCACTGTAATAACTGATAGTGGAATTTTTTGTTGGTGGTGGAAAAATGACTACCAAAAAAGAACCTAAATCATGCAAGCTTAAGTGAATTGAACATAACCTAGTAAATAGACTACAGGGCAGGTATTCTAGTTTTGGCTCTGCCTCTGACCTGCTGAGGGACCTTCTGTGTCTTTCAATTTATCCAGTTGGTAAATGGAATAATGATGTAACAGATGTGAACAGCTGTTGATGATGGAAATTTATATGAATGCAAGGTAATTTTACTGTTATCTGAGCATGTTTTTTTTTTTCATATCCCTTGTGTCCCTGTCATTGTAACTCAAGAACAAATATTATATTTTTATATATATGGAAACCATGTTATGAGCATATGTATCAGGGAACCCTTTTTGCAGGATGAGGTTGTGAGACAGGACACAAGCCAACATGGTTAACAGTCAAGCACCAAAGTTTATTAGCAAAACAAGTCCTATATATTCTTATACATTCTAAAAATAACAGCAAATCCATGTGTTGCTCTAGCATGTGCTCATTTCAAAAACTAGTTCCTCTCAGCACTTTCAATAAGGACTACTAACCACGTGCAGCCGGTAGATAAGTTTCTGCTTTGTTATTTTGAAGAATCTCTTCTTATCTGTTTCTTCCCTAACAAGCCCAAATTCTTTTGCTTTTAGTCGTTATTAATCTAGACACCATTAGCCTTCTAACACAAGTGCGTCATTAATTTATACTTTGTTAATCTTCTAACCCGAATGCTGATGATACTTCTACATTGTTAGTGATGCAGAAGGTTCACGACCCACAAGCATATGTATTCTGAAGGTGTATTGATGCTCCTTCACAGGTCCACTTTCTTTCTTCTTCTGTCCTATACTGTACATAAACAAGGTATCACCTAGTAGTTTGACCTTGTGGCATAAAATGTATCAGCACAGACTTTTTGCTGAATCTGTCTTACCTAACAGACCCTCATGAGCCAAAATTTTGTCACTCATGATTACAGCAAGCCATTACATTGCATACATCTAAGTAGGAAGACACAGCAGCACTGTTCCCTGAAACAAACAAGCAAACAAACAAATCCAAAAACAAACAAACAAACTAACAAACAAACAAAACCAGGGAAAATGTAGGACTGAGACTGCTATTCCTTTCCATGTGTTCTTGGTAAAAAGCAATAATGAATATGAGACAATGCTTCCACCAAGGAATGATACATCCTTAAATGTTTCTATCCAGTCATCTACTCTAGATCTCAAAATTATGGACAAAAAAATCTAGGCAAAATATTGATAATGGAATTATCTACGAGACCTTCCTTTGATCTTCTCTTTTACTCTTTATAACCTTTTTTTTGCCTGAGTATGTAGAGAGTGGTTCTTATTCCAATTTATGGCTCAGTAAGAGCTGAAGATATTGTATCTTTTATCTAGTCCAATGTGATGGAGTAACTTCTCTTCCTCTTCGTTTATTCCATAATTTCAATGTATCAGAAGTTAGATAGTGGAGTCTTTCATACTTCGATTTCTATAGAAAATATACCATACTATAGGACACTA